CCCCAAAACCCCAAAACCCCAAAACCCCACGGTACATTTTTACAGTTGAAATATCAAATTATTTTCGTCTGAAGGAAATTATCTTACCAATTTGGTATCCTAAACTGTTTAAGTGCTTGATTTGGGCCACACTATGGGTCTGAACCAGTGAGTCTAGGGCATAGGTGTTGCCATAAAAGAAATTGTAGTTAAAATCTGGTATTTCTTCATCCTTCATGGTGATAGCTCTAATACTAGTCAAGACTCTTTCATCAACTTCTATTTTTAGTCAAGAATATATTGTATTGGTATTAAACATGAATGAAAAATGAAGCAATTACCTGGCTCATCATCACTCTCTTCTCCTTCATAACCTTCTGAAGAAGAGTCATTCGAATTCTGGGGCTCCTTTTTAATTCGATAGTCCATTCTAAATATCGGTTTTTCCTCAATTTTAAATAATTGTGAAATCCATTTTTGGTCTTTTCTTTTAACACTTTCCCAATGTTTCTCAGCAATATTTCACAAAATTTCAAAAATTTGTTCACTCTGAACTAAATCCTTCAGTATTTCTGGTTTGGTAGGGTAAAATTTTAAGAATTCCTCCAAACTCAAATGTTCATCGAACCTATAAGATTTCAGGTAAATTCAAAGAATTCAGATAAATTTTCAGAAAAAGTTCATTTATTAATTGGAAATATTTCAAAGAGTCATTGAATGATTCAGAATATGTTTTTACCTGTTTTCAGACTGATTATTATTAGAGTAAGTGATATTATTTCTGAGAAGTATGTTTCAAGCTTCAAAATTCTTGTATGTTGCAGCAATAATAAACAAGTAGAGGAGATCATTTTTGACAATTCCAGATATATTATTGCAAGTTTTTAAAGGAAAGCTACCTGTTGAGATTAACTTCAGTGGAGTTTCCCACTCAAGAACATCTTTCAATATATCATTATCATCTTCAAATCATACCAAATTTTGCAGCAAATTTGATAAATAACATCACTCCTTAAATCTCTCAATAACCTTCATCATTTTTATCACTTTCTTGAGTTTTTTGGTCTCCTCATCTATCTCCATGCCTTCTCTGATCACTTTTGTTCTCCAATAATTATAACTCAATCCTAGCTTCCAAAACCCACCTAGCCCAATGACTCCCTTCAGCATCTCCAAGACCACATCTAAATCCACATCTTCACTCAGCACCAGTGGAGCATCCACTTTCAAATTCTCCAGAAATTTAATGACAATTCTTCCACAGCCCTTCTTTGTCTTCATATTCCGTTCCACATCGTTGCCTGAGTCTCCTTCACCTTCTTCTTCTGAGGATTCAGTGAGATTTGTGATGTACTCTAAAAGGAAATGAGGGGGAGTAGAGAAAGAGAAGGGATGGAAAGAACAAGGGGAAGGAGATAAGGGGGTGGGGAGAGATTCGTTTTAAAGTGAAGGCATAAAGGAGTTATTAGATAAGAGTGGGGAAAATGGCATGAGTTGTGGTATTTATGAGTAGGGAATTTTACTTCCTTGATAATTTCAAACCCTTATGCTATCAAATAAGTCAACTTAGTAATTTAGATTTTCTATCCTTCATATAAACTTTTTTCATGATTTTATAAATTTTTCTAATCCAGTTACTTATCAATTTCTAACAAAATATAAAAAATTTCAAAATTTTCCCCAAGTAAAATTTTGTTAAGAAATTAGTATTTTTTTAGAATAAACTATGCCAGCTCAAGAATATTTAAACGGGCTAGAAGAAGAATTCAGTGTATATTTTTAATTAAAACCAGAGGAAATAATTAGAATGAATCATTACATTTCAAAGCATGATCAAATAAATAGGAAACTCTAAATTCTCTTATGATAGAGTAGGCTTCTTTTCTATTAAGGTTATGGTATTTAGTTATCAATTGTTGTTGTTTGAGAGTAAATGAGAGATAGCAAACAGAGAAAGTACTCTAATAGCTCTTGAGACTAATATCATAGAAGAGTTTGAGATGCATTTCCGATTTTTTGACTAGCACTTTGCACTTAAAATCCACATTAGACAAGATTAAAGAAAACTCTAATCCTTTATCTATACTCTTTTTATCAAAACTCAAAACAATACATACTAATAATTACCCACAATCTCATTTCTATTACATATTCTCCAAAATTTTCAATTCAAATCTCTCAACGCGACAAAAACTTCTTTAGCTTTGGCTTACCTTTGAACCTGTTCACATTCTTCTTGACAAATTCCTGTAAGGCTATAACTCAAGAGTATTCTTTATGAACCATCAGTACCTTAAATAGAAAGGTCAAACAACGGATTATAGGCGATTCAAGATCATAAACATTGAATTTGTAATCATACAAGGTCAATGTCTCAACGATCTTATTTACAAAGCAGTCTCATTTCTTCTTTATAACCAATTTTTAGCTGCCATTGGTTTAAGGTTTCGGTATATTTATCAAACGCGAGCATTTTCTGTGCGTCGCTCAAAGTAGAGTCCCACTTCTGTAAACTTTCAAAAATTGATATAATATCTAAGTAACTAGTATCACTTTTAGGATGGGCTCTATATATTGCACACCTTGATTGGATATAGCTGTTCATATCAACTTCAGGTATGTATTTTCAAATCCCAAATAGATTATCCCTTGAGGATTCATACTCATCATCATCTATATTCCTTATTAACACTGGTCTGGCATAAAAATACTGTCTTTTCAGAATAATTAGAGATCTCTGAGCCATTGATGGCGCATAAGCTAACTGTGAGATGTATTAGCTAAGAAAGATACTCTTGTTGAATATATGGTATAAAATCCAATATATTCTTTAGAAAATTATCTAGTTATGTCACAAGATTACCTTCTCCTTCATTGTCCTCTTCCTTCTTGAGATTTTCAAGATAAAGGTTATTTGTATTTGCATCTATTTTCGTTAAAAATTAAGATTTTTAAGAATATTCATAATCCAAAAGTCAAATCAGAAATTTCTGGTCAAATTTATACAAAATTTTTGCTTAATTACACATCTAAAATTCTCTGAAGACTCTATCATCACCGAGGTATCCATGCTCGAGAGTTTAGTTTGGTATCGCTTTTGAATACAAAATGTCAAATCAAAGAAATATTCTAGACATTCTACTTTTTCTTTCTCTAAGATCAAAGCTCCTCTCCATTCAGGACAACAAAGGTGAATCAAAGAGGAATGATAATACTAATTCGTTTATGAATCATTGAAATTTCCTAAGTAAAAAGTTTTATAGGAATTCAAATTAATTGGGTTAAAAAGAATTGTGATAGCATGAATTTCAAACAATTTAGTTATAAAAATCTGAGTGAAAATAACACTAATAGTAGTTATTATTTTTTGCGAGAATAACAACAGCAGTATAATTCTATCTTAAGAGGAGTAAGAGCAGATTACAAGCTTCAAGTGTGCTTCACTAAGGATGGTGTTCAATAATGATTATCATAATTTTTCGAAAGAACATAAGTAACTTTTGAAGTTAAGATATGCAATAAGAAGAGTATTTACTCTATATTAATTAGCCAACTAGCTTGACTTGTTCTAAAATTAAGTTTAATAATTCTTTGTTGAAATATTATCTTATCTGCTAGATGACATTGATAAATTAAGCATAATAAGATCAAATTTGATCATTAACTCTACATTATCATGCCTGTATTCGAGAATTTGATATGCTAATAGTCACATACTCAGGGCGATTTATCATCAACTTCAATGAAGATATTACGTGATTGCTGTAAACTTCTAAGATATTAGACACATCACAACTATTATTTTGAATTAGGTCATCAATCCAACTTCATAGTCTCTTGAAAAACCATTGAGAGCATATCTTTTCTTCAGTATCAAGTGCTTTGGACAGTCAATAATCAACTATATTCTGAAATTCATTTTCTTCTTCAACTTCCTCTCCTTCAGCTTCTTCGTTCCATAAACTCCATAATTTGTGTTCATAATTTTTTCCAGCAGAAGTAAGTAAAAATTTCAAAAACTCTTCTGCTGTTCTTCCTTCTGAGTCAACTGTAATGCTATTTTTGTCTAGATTTTGGAGTCCTTGTGCAGTTATGCCTAAGATTTTATCCCGAAATTGTCTGTACAAACATGATAGGACCGAGTCATTATCATTTTCAGAAACATTTACATCAATTTTGGTAAGTGTAGAGTGTACAGACATTAGAATGCCATAAAGTGAGATCATTTTCTCGTTTGATACGAACATAAACGATTCTATCTCACTTAAGCTGTCAATAACGTACTGAATCATTTTAGGATGTCCATGCCTAAAAGCTAGCTCAATTGGAGAATGATCATTATCATAAATACATTTGCCTCCTTTAGAAAAGGAAATAAAGGAGAATGTGTTCAGAGTGAAGAAGTTTGAGTGCCCCTCATTTTCTAAAATGCTTTGAAAATAATCAGAGAGACCGCATTCAATACATTTTTCAAAAGGGTTAATGGTCACTGGTTCTTCGACTAGCTTCTTGAAATCAGTCATCTGCAATATGTGGTCAAAGACTAATCGATAGTCTTTGACACCTTGATGCTCAGGCTTCATTCTTGCAAACAAGAGAGTGAGTGCAGAGTGTCCACTTTTAGTAGCTGAATTATACAAGGAGTTGAAGTTAAAATTTTCAGACTCTACGAGCATGTCCAAAGTTAAATTCTTGATATAATTAATGAAGATATGAAGGAAGTCTTGATTGCTTAGATTCTTATTCTCAAAAACACAGTGCACAACATTTCTGAAGACTCGATCTTTTACCTCAAGGTTGATCTTAATAGTCTTGTGCTTTGTGATGTAATCCAAGATTAATTTAATCTTCCTGAAATCTCCATTTTTAAGGATTGAAATAATCGGGGATGTTCCCATTATCTCACAAAACTTGTTAAGCTCAGAGGTAAGATCTCCAATCTTAATTATTTCATACAAACTGTCAGCTTCATAAAAATGTGCATTCAGGATGTACTCCAAAAATTCCAAATCAGGGCATAAAACTACATCTGCAATAAAGCTAATTCCCATCTCTCCAGCCTCTGAATAACTATCAGGTATGCATCATTCTTCACCCTAAACCTTACGCGTTCTACCTTACCTCCTCTATCTGGAACATGGCCACTTCAATGGCTTCTTTAAAAAACCCGAAGTTTCTTTTATCGATGCTCCTCGCGAGCATGCCTGCTTTCATGAACATTTCCTACATAAATTTTAACAAATGAGATCCAATGTAGTAGGTTTGAGAGTTGAATGGAAAGGAGCAAGGATTGGGGGAAGGGTTTAGAAGTGAGATTTGAGGAAGATTGGGGATTTAGGAAGGATTTTGAGAAGGAATCGTGGAAGATGATATTTTTGGCACAGATGGGAGGTTTAGAGAAGATTGAGAGGGATTGGAAGTGTTGGATAAATGAGAAGTAAGGAGTGGATTTTTTGTGTAAAATTTGGAAAAATTAATTTTTCGGTGATTTTAAACAAAAAATCTCATCCGGAAAGTGTCAGAAACATGAGAAATACTGAATTACTAAGACGTTGTATGTAAAGGAAGATTGAAGGCTATTTGCATACTCTTGGTACACTCTTTTTAATCCTCAACAATAGCTAGCTTAACTCAGAGAAGAAAATAAACAAGAATTAACACAAACTCTCTCTTCTTTCAATTCCAATAATAAAAATATCCAAACTCTATCAAAGAATGTGGAAGCAAAACAGGAATCTTTCTAGGAACAATAACCTAATGTATAGCTCTAGATAAAGATTTCAGCTAAAATCTAATAAGAAGCTTTGCCTGCATGACTTTGAAATTTAGATTTTACCATGATAGACATATCTTCTGTATCTCTGATATCCAAATCAAATTCATAATACTCTTTATTATCACAATAGATATCAAAAGCTTCCTGAGCTTTCGATCTAGATCATAAGGCGTGAAGGAGGGTTTGCCCTGAACCATCTGTGTGGTTAACATCTATCATTTGATTCATATCTGAAATTTAGTAAACAAGTTATTACTTTCAAGAACTAGAGATTCTAATAACCAAGATATTGGATAGATCTTGCCTTCCTTGGCCATACACATCAAAATGCTTTCTCTTTGATGATTTTCCCCATTGAACTAGATTTAAGTTCTAAACTTACTGTCTTGTTAAACAAAGATACATCACCTTGCTTCAACCCGTTGCTCTTTAAATCATCAAGGACCATCGATGTAAGTTCCATGAATCAATCTTTATCACCCTTCTGGTTGAATTTCCGAATGATATGCTGGTAAAAATTGTACCCCGAGGGGTCTACTTCATAGAACCCATTCCTATCATCTCTAAGCTTATCAGCAATTTTCATAAAATTGCTATCTCTTCTTTCCCCAATGACATGATATTGGTCATTGTAAATATTCGGCTCCTTGACATACTCATCCGGTTGGCTTGGGTCCCACTCATTAGTCTATATGTATCAAAATCTGGTTGTAAACTCAATCCCTTAACTTTAAGGTTGACCCTCTTACATGTTTGACTGGATACACAGGCTCCTTCTTTTTCTTAGTGCTGGCTTGGCTAGTATCTGACATTTTTAATAATTATTGCCCAATGAGGGGATTTAATAAGGGGTTTTGGGGTTTTGGGGTTTTGGGGTTTTGGGG